GTCGTCTGCTTCTCCCGCACCCACGACCGCGCCTCTGCCTGACTCCGGCTCGCTTCTGCAGGCGGCGCCGCACTCCGTGGGCGAACGCCGCGTGGGCTCTTTCGCGCTCGCTCCAAACGATTTGCAAAACGTTAGTTTCTGCTTCCCCATGTGCCTCATTCGCTTCACCCGCGCACCCTCTGTGGAATCTGCGCCCCCCTCTGGATGGCGCTCGCCAGCGCGGGCGCCATGCAAAGACGGAGACGCGCCACCTACGCCACCACTCGCCCCCGCTGGCGCGCGCGTAGACCTCGACTCTCCATCGACGCGGCCCGACGCAACCTCGCTTTCAAGCGCCTTTCCGGCAGAACCGCCGTTGCCTACTGCTTCTGCACTTCCACCGCTAGCTACACCCACCTCGTGCGTAGTCTCTCCCCCGCCAGTTTTGCTTGACTTAACCACTGGGAGTCTGTCGCGCAACGACGCCGGCCCGTCGGTTGACGACGCCGTTCCATTGGCGGCATCTGTCGACACGACTGGTTCCGTCTGGTGCCTGGAAAATACCACAGGGGCAACGTCTGTCTGGTTCTTCGGGTTCTCCGCAAAATCTGTGGATTCGCCCCTAACAGCTATGTTATCGTCGAACCTCGCGACGCCGACGCCAGGGCAGTCGAAGTAGGCGATGTAATGAGCGGGCCGCTCCAGATGGCATATCGCGCCCATGAAACGGCACGCCCAGCCCGACGCCCCGGGCCACTCGAACGCTTTTGGCACGTTTACGCGGACATTCACTCTGTCCATTCCGTCAGCCATTCTTCGGCTCAGCAACGCAACGAGGAACCTTGGGGGCGTCTCCGAACGCGCGTCGTGAATTTGCGACGGGCCCCGGCACCCGTGCCACACCTCTCCGTCTCGCAAGGCGGGTCGATGTGGGCACGGCAAACCGCACTGAGCTCGGGTGGATTCCAACGCTAACAGATGGCCAAGACAGACTGGGCCCACCATATCCGCATATTCCCACATTTGGATTGTCATGGATCGTTCTCGTCTGTACAAATCCGAAACCCAACCGCAGCCGCCGCAATGCCGCCTTTGACTGATTGTTTTTTGCAATATAGACCCGTCTACCACTGTGTAGTCCTGCGCTAGGATGCCCATGCCCGTCAACGCACTCGACTCCGCAGCGCAGGCTGCATCAACCAATGCGCTCCGTAGCTCGCTTGCGTCGCACTCGCGATTTCCCCTAAAATGATTTGCGCGGCCGCGCTGGAACGGGCCATCGCGCGCCGCTGTCACTCCTGGAACTTGTTCGCCTTTATCTACAGGAAGCTCACTCAGGGATGCGCCCATCAGGTCCGCCTGCTTTGCTAAAGCACAGACGCCGCACTGATTGCGCCCTCGCACGCTGCATCCGCGTCGATGATGCAACACTGCTTGCCGGATAGGCCCTGGCCGCAGCAAGACATGCATTGCGGCGTGAGCAAAACGCGAATTCCCGATGTTCGGCATCCCCTCTATGTGTTGTCGAGCGCACGCCCAGGCCCCTTCCTCAAGCACGACTCGAACGGAGTCACCACGCAACGCGGCCGCCAGCTCCACTTCTGAGACAGCTGGTCGCACTAGCTCCGACAGTGTACTCTCGTCTGGGCGTTTCGCAATGATTTCCTCCACGGTTGCGCCCCCCGCCGCCTCGGGCCGCCGCTCCCGGCCCGCGTCGCTGTCTGCACTTGAACCGTCCGCGCCGTTCGGCACTACCTGAGCGATGCTGGATGATGGCGGCGATGTGCGACCTCCGACCGAAGAATGAAGCCACGGAGCATGCTCTGCTTCTCCGTCTACAGCGTCGCGCGCGAGCACATCCCCCCCGCTTGCCACGCGAACGACGTGCTTACGAGACAACCATGTTACTGTTCCTGCGCACACGCCGTGAACGTCGCCAAGCTCCCATCTATGCCGCAACGGGGCTGTCATTACTTGCTGCACGTCATTCGCTTCATACACCCACACAAACGCGTGCTCGTCACACAGCCATGTCTGAACAGATAGGAGATTTTGTCTCTCTACCGAATCGCCAATGCCTTCCCCAGACGCCATGTCGTTTCTACACTCTTTTTCAAACCTTCGCAATGCGTCCCGGCGCCACCGCCCCCGACGCAGCTTCGCACACGCGACTTGTAGACATGTATTATCATGGCGACCGATGCTGGATACATCGTTCCCCAGCACCACTGCCGACTCGGCGTCGGCGCACCCGACATATACTTGCCGCGCAACCGCTGCTCGCATTGCCAAATCACCGAAGCTTTTCTTCCCAGGAACATCACGTGTAGCCAGGCCATATGACCAGAAAGCCGGGAGCGTCGTTCTTTCCTTGCGGTTCACGCCCACATCTGGGGACCGCCTAACTGGATTCAGACGAGCGCACCCGACTCGCCGCGCCCGCCTGTTTGATCGCTGTACTGCAAGTCGGCGTGAACCCATTGGATTGGCTGCCCGCGCCAGGCCTACGAACATGCACGCGCGCAAGATATCAAAAAAACGAATGATCCGCCACCGTGTCTCTGGCAGTCGTCTTGCGTGCCTTGTCTGGCTGCGTTTTGGGCGTCATGCGCCGCGTGATGGTCTCGTCACAGCATTTCCATGCCCTCACAGGACATTGTACTTCCAGTGTGCATTTCTCCGTTCTACCACGACTGCGACAACAAGGTCTGCTACGCAACGGGCGCTTCCACGTTCCCAAGCATCTCCCGATTCTGCGACGACCACGGAAAACGGACGACTTCCACCTCCGGGAGGACAACCCGGCACTGATTTTTCCAAGCTGGCCGGGCACTTTCCCCTTCCAGGACGCCACCTTCCAGTCGTTCCACGAAAGACATTCAACAACCTGCTGGGGGCAGAGCCGGCACGATGACGGCAGTTGACAGCACCACTCCATTTACGCCCCCTGGCAAACCTGCGACGACGAGCAGTGCGACCGCGGGCAGATCCTACGGGAAAACAGCGGCAGCAAACATCACCGCCACCACCCACGCCAGCGCAGCCCGGCTTACTCAAAGAGCAGCGATTTCGATGCGCATTGCAAGAAAAACACGGCGGCACCCGTCAGCGTCGCGCGCGCCTCTGCGACAGCGGACGCCAACGACGCCGCGACGTGAGCGCCTGACACCGCGCCCCTGACCGACAACATAACCACGATGAGACCCACCGCGCCGAAACGTAAATTTCAAAATTTGCGAGCGCTTCCCCCTTCTACGACAACACTCACCGACAACATAACCACGACGAGAAGCACCGCGCCGACACGTATAGTTCAACATTTGCGAGCGTTTCCCCCTCTACGCCGACGCTGCCCGACAACATAGCTACGACGAGACCCACCGCGCCGAAACGAAAATTTGAACATGTGCGAACGTTTTCCCCTTCTACGACAACAATGCAATGAAGAATACTGACGACCCCGCCTCCGACACGCCCCAACGTCCCGTCGACGATCGCGACCCCACGCTGCCGCCAACGCCACGCTGCCGCCGACCATCGCGGCCACGTGCCGCCGACCATCGCGTCGACCATCTGCGATGCCACCACCACGCTGCCGCCGACTGTCGCAGCCAACCAGCGATTGCCAAAGCGCCTACTTCCATGCACCTGCCTCGGAAGGTCTGGCGCATTGCAGGGTGTGGTTCCTGCAGACCCTCGGTTTTTGTTGATAACCGGTGAACCCTCGGTTGTACCCCACCGCGACCGAAGCCGGGCTGACGACTCCTATGGCAGACCCCGTAGAATCTGCCATCGAAGCCGCGGGCCTGAGACAACCGGTAAACTCCTTGGTTGATTTAGGCTCAACTGCATTGCCCGTCCCGCCGGCGGCCGGGCGGCCCAGCAAGGGGAGCCCAGGCAGGGGGGGGGCATCGTGTCGCAGCTCAAGGCTTGAGCTTGGCGAAGAAACGGCGCGGAATTCCTACACCGTGTTCCTCGTGCTCTCTGAATCCGCTCGCTCTGGTCGCATGCTCCTCCTCCTCCTCCTCCTCCTCCTCCTCCTCCTCCTCCTCCTCTTCCTCTTCCTTATCCTCTTATTACATTATTCCTCCGTCCAAGACAACCCAAGAGAGCCCCAAGAGACAGCCCGATGTGTTTTTTGTTCAATCCGAGGCCTCAGAAAACTCCCGACCCTTCCCCAAGGATAATAGTTCATCCCGGATCCATTTTGTTGGTCATGGGGGCCGTCAGCGTGCCCCGGAAATCGTTAAACCGAACGAGAACGCCGGGATTGAAACAATCGCATCGACAAAGACACCCAGACATGATCGCGTCGGAAGAAAATCAAGACGGCAATTCTTTCGCTATTTTCGGTCCCTGGGGGCCCTCGCTGGGCCCCAGGACCGCCAAAAAACGACTCAAGATGAAAAACTGGCCCCGGGGAAAGGGTTTGGACTTCCGGGGACGCCGTCCTGAAATAATCAGGACGTCGCACGTCTTGATTCAGGTCTGCCTCATGACGAGTCTCCCCCTCGCCGTCTGGGCGTGCGATGATGGGACAGACCCGGACCCCCAAACCGTAATGAATTGCTCACAACTTGGGCCCTGAGAGATCTGGACCGCTTCCCAGGGACGATCATCCCGTCCTGAGTCGTTCTCTTGACGGCCCCGCAAAGGCACCCGAATCCGAAAGATGATGAAACACGTCCGTCAGGATTTCTTCACGACGACGCGTGGGGGCCTCCGGCTACACGCAAGAGTGACCCTTGGCAAGAGTGACCTTTGGTGCGCGGCTGTTTGGGGGCCGCGGGGGGGGGGGGGGGGGGGGGCCAACACACAAGCGCGCAAGCCGCTGCCATCGCATCGCACTCGGCGATCGGGGGATCCCAGTGGGCCCGCACCCAAAGGCTACTCCGGCGAAGGGTCACTCTTACGTGGCGGATTTCGGAAACCCTGAACCCAAAAACGTTTTCATCTCTTGGGAGCGACTCTTTTTCTTCCGCCGCCTTCCGCCAGCCTTCCGCCGCCTTCCGCCGGCGGAGGCGGCCTCGTCGTACTTCCGCCGACCTTCCACAGGCCTCCCGCCGCGGAAGAGATGGCAACTCCCTCGACCCTCGACGGCAAAAGGCCCCTCTCTGGAATGCCTCACGTGCAACCAGTCGCAGGGCTTCTCCACGACGACGCACGGGGGTCTGGCGAGGGGCCAGCAGGCGGGCCCGTTGCAGCCGAGATGCGGAGGGCCCCCCCCGCGCCGGCCGGGCGCGCGCTCCGCGCGGCGCGGCGCCGCAGCCGAGAGGGGCTGTACCTCTGCAGCGGCCAACGGGAGCGCCCGCGCTCGGCTCGGCGACTCCGCAGGGTGTGGCTTGCAAAGGTCGGCGGCGAGCGAGGGGGGAAGTGAGAGGGAGAAGGCCCTCTCAGACGGCGGGGGGGACTTCTCTGAAACCCTCGCGCCTTCTGAAAAATGCTTGTTTTCCGTGTCTTCTGGGAAGGTGAAGAAAACTGATCGGAAGGCCAGGGGATTTCCGAGCCTTCCGAGAAGGCCTTCTCCCTCTCACTTCCCCCCCTCGCTCGCCGCCTGAAAGGGTTGATTGGCTGCACGCAGGAGTGACCCTGAGTACACTCGGGCATGGCCACAATAACATCCCTCAAGAGCATGAGACCCTCCGCCTGCCAAAGCAAGCAGAACATCCAAGGGTATCCTCCCCAGACACACAAACGAAGAACACTAGGGTACTTACCATCCCCGAACCGACCTCGATCTTACACCTCGGTCCGACTGTAAGAGTGGCCTTTGGTGCGCGGCATTTGGGGGGCCGCGAGGGGGGGCCAACACACAAGCGGCAAGACGCTACTGCCGCATCGCGTTCGGCGATCGGAGGACCCCAGTGAGCCCGCACCAAAGGTCACTCCGTCGAAGGGTCACTCTTACGTAATTACATGCGTGTAGTCGAGTGGTTTGCAACCCGTGCCCTGGGGGGCGGGCGAGGACTTCAGCAGAATTCTCCGCCGCGCCCCGAGGAGGCCCGACGAGGGCAACGTGGTGCGCCCAGAGCCCCAACGACGCAGCTCGTATAAGCACCGCCACAGCGTAACCACACCCACTGTAGTCGCCGATCAGCGCTCAACGCCGAGGCCCCGCGGGCCCGGCGTCTCACGAGAGGACGTGGGGAAGCTGGAAGCACGCATGGCTGGGCCCCTTGAGATCCAGGCGGTGCCAACGCCATCGCTTCACACCAAGCGTTCTCGCCTTGTCTCGGGCCCCAGGGCCATCACAGATCGATCTGGCTCGAACAAAATGCCGCAGGGAGGTGGGGTCTACCCATACATGCGCCATCCTGATTTTTGCCATACGCGGTCCCCAGAAGTCCCGACCCTTTCCCCCAGACCGGTTTTTCATCCAGAGTCGTTTCTTGACAGTCCTGGGGCCCGGCGAGGGCCCCGAGAGGCCGAACATAGCGAAAACCTTCGGTCGTGTTTTTGTTCACAACGCGAGGGGGTCTGGGAAGGTGGGGCCTAGGCTCCCGTCGTGATCCGTCGCGATGCTGCAGCTGTGTTCACGGCGTCGGACCTCAGGGGCCAGCGTCTCGCGAGATGCTGCGGGGAAGCTGAAAGCACACACGGCCGGGGACTCTGAGATCTGAGCGTGTGACGCGGGCATTGGATGAAGGAACACTTGCATGAGGAATCGATGGGACGCACATGGACATACTAGTACTATATGTCCTCCTTGGAGGCGCGCGTCCGACTCGAACATATAGTATACCCATCTTGTAGTATATCGTTTCCCGAGCGGTGTGGCCAGAAAGCGCCCGCCACGACGCATATACTATAAGATTCCTCGGTGCGCGCGTCGCCCCTGGGGGGGCGACGCACATATAGTATAAAAATGTAAGGGTGTTGCCGAATCGAGGGTCCGGAAGCCCGGGGGAACTCCGAACGTGGAGTGGCCACGGACATCACCGCCGCCCTCATCCGATAGGTAATGGTCCGGGGTCTGGAGGCTCCTGGGCACACTCATCAACCAACGCCCCCACTTTACTTGGATCACCGCTGGGGTTGCTGAGGGGATAGCGGGGTTCGAAGTGGATGCCACGGTGAGCTATGTCTGGCCTGGCCAAGCGTAAACATAAAAATCAGCTGCAAGTGCCCCTCAGCGGCTTACGGGGGGGGGGGGGGGGGCGAAGATCTGGGTAAGTGGGCGGAGCCCACCTGGCAGAGTTACCTCGCCCCTTAAAGCCACTCAGGGCAATTGTAACCCATGCTTTTGCTAGGTCAGGCCAGACATAACCCGCGTTCGCATCCATGTATAACTACCTCTGCCCTTCGCCACCTGAGCGGTGATCCAAGTAAGTGCTGGACGCAACACGTGGCCGCGGCCGCACGCCTCGCGTCCCTCGTGCGCCCGGGTGCGGTTTCTCCGCGCGGTTGTCTGGCGCGTGGCGCTCGTGCGTTCCACATGCAAATCCACCGCCATGGAGGAATCGGCGGTGGACAGACCTCCCTTTAGTAAACCTCCCCTTAGTGAAAACGGCCTGGGACCGAAACCGACGGACCTGGACCCGCAAAAATGACGGCCGCGACGCCCTCTCGCGAACCGAAAACGGCCAATTCCTTAATCGACGTGTCAGGAAAGGAGGTCTATCCACCTCCGAAGGAAACTGGCCCTGAAGGGAGCAGGTCCCCCGAGATCCGGGCGATGCATCTTTCACACCGGGCGTTTTCGCCCAGTGTCGGGCCCCAGGACCAGCACAGAGATCTATCATTCTCGAAGAGGTCCCCGGAAAATGGGGCCTGGGGCTCTCTAGGCGCGATTCTCCGCGGTTTGCCTCTGTTAGGACAAAAAAGACGCCATAAACATAAACTTTTGGCGCTCCGCACGGATTTCTTGGATCTGCGCTTGGCCCCCCTCCCTGAGGGCGCGGAACGCGCCACGGCCGGGGCCCAGCGCGGATCCAAGAAATCCGCGCGGAGCGGCAACAGTGTATGAGTAAGGCGTTTTTTCTTCTGGGAGTGATTCTCCGAGATGTTGCCTTTGTTTCGCGACGTCGGATCTTGGGGGCTAGGCTTAGGTCGGGCGTGTCCCCCTACAGGGGGATTTTGAATGAAAAAAGAAAATAATACAAAAAATGCAACCAAGGAGGAAGAGGAGGAGGAGGAGGAGGAGGAGGAGGAGGACGAGGACGAGGAGGGGGAGGAGGAGGAGGAGGAGGAGGAGGAGAAGGAGGAGGAGTCGAGCGTGCGGAGGAGGAGGAGGAGGAGGAGGAGGAGGGGGAGGAGGAGGGAGGACGAGGAGAAGGAGGAGGGGGAGGAGGGGGAGGAGGAGGAGGAGGGGGGGGGGGGGGGGATGAGGACGGGTCACCTAAGCCCTTCGGAGAAGCCCTCCACGGCGGACGCCTGGGCATGCAGGAAAGCGAGTGGGTCCTGCAGATGGGTCCTGGACCACAGGGCCCTTCTGGGGCGGAGGAGAAGGGGGACAGCAACGGGCAGTGCCACTGCACCGACCTTTGCAGACGTGCTGCAACGGATTTGTTTTGGCAGTCCCGAATCGGCGAGCGACAAGCGAAGGGAATTTCACGCGGATTTGTTTGTTTTCATTCCTGGCCCCAAAAAGAATCGCAAGAATTCACGTCGAAATCTGGAACGAAATTCTCCAGGACACTCTAGGCCCATCGTGTTGTTTTCCAAACGAAATCCGCCCTTCGGAAGCCTGGGAATGGGCCCCAACACCAACACAGCGGGTTGCCTCCACAGGGGGAAGATGATCCTAGATTTCGGTGTTGGTGGTAATCGTTCGGCCACCTCGAAGCCAGAATATCAGCACCACCACCGAGATCGGGATCCTCTTCCCTCGGTGGAGGCACACCGCCGATGTTGGTGCTGGTGTCATACCTCCAGGCCTGCGACTTACCCGATCTTCCCCCTCGCCGTCCGGCACGAGCCCTTCCCCAGGACCAGCTTCTCGTCCAGCTTCTCGTCCGCCGGGCGCTCCCGGGGCCCAGGGAGGGGGGCCCCGGGAGCCCGGAGGCGGCGGGGACCCTCCGGGGCACGGAGGGGCGAGCAGGGCGTGCGGCCACGCGTTGGGATCCAGCACCCGGTGGCACGTGCTGCCCCGGGGAGGTCCAGCGCGCGAGTGTCGCCAGCTTCTCCGGAGGGAGCTGGAAGAGCGGTGCCCGTGCGCGCGGGAGCATGGCTGGGCCGTTTCGGCCACCGGTTCTGCTGCGTGCGCGGCGAAAATGGGCAGATCACTTAGTACGCAAATCACTCATCGCGGTGCCCGCTCTGCCGAGCAGATTCGCGCATGCACTCAAATACCAGGGACCAACCTCCTAACGTAGTCCTTCTCCTCCTCCCCATCCCCGTCTCTCCCCTCCTCCTCGCTTCAATTTACTTCCGACGGCTTCCGTCGACAAGGCCACCGTTGTTTACTTCCGCCGCCTTCCATGGCCCTTCCGCCAAGGATTCCCAATGTGCTGAGGAACTGGCGTCGGCGAGCTGGCGGATGCCGGGTCGCATCAACAACGCACAACGGCCCGCTCCTGCTTCTCATCCTCACTCCTTCATGCTCCTCCAGTGATTTCTTCCCTTCTCCCACATCATCATTATCATGCACATCATTCACATCATCATCATCATCATCATCATCATCATCATCATCATCATCATCATCATCATCAGCATCAGCATCAGCATCAGCATCAGCATCAGCAGCATCAGCATCAGCATCAGCATCGTCATCACCAGGATCAGCATCAGCATCAGCATCGGCATCATCAGCATCAGCATCAGCATCGGCATCGGCATCATTATCAGCATCATCAGCAGACGCATCATCACAACATTATCATTATCATCATCACCATCATCATCGTCATCACCATCGTCATCACCATCGTCATCATCAGCATCATCATCATATACGTCATCAGCAGCATCATCGTCATCATCGTCATCGTAATCATCATCATCATCATCATCATCATCATCAACATCATCATCCTCATCCTCATCCTCATCCTCATCCTCATCCTCCTCATCATCCGCCTCCTCAGGCTCATCATCATAATGATAATAATCATCCTCGTCATCATCGCCATCGTCATCGTCATCGTCATTATCATCATCACCATCCTCATCGCCACCATCATCATCACCGAACTCACCATCATCATCAGCAGCATCAGCATCATCATCAGCATCAGCATCATCATCAAGATCATCATCATCATCCTCATCATCATCCTCCTCAGCATGATCATCATCATCATAATCAGCATCAGCATCGTCATCCTAATCCTATCCTCATCGTAATCCTCATGCTCATCATCATACTACTCCTCATCCTGATCCTCATCCTCACCATCATTATCATATTCATGTTCATATTCATATCTGCCGTCGTCATCACCATCAACATCATCATCAACATCACCATCACCATCGTCATCATCATGATGATCGTCATCATCATCAGCATCATCATGATCATGGTTATGATCATGATCATCATCATCATCATCATCATCATCATCATCATCATCATCAACATCGCCGTGCACGGCCGAACAACGCCTCATCATCCGCAAATCACCCGCCCACCGGTGGTGCGAAGCGTGTCAAACACCTAACGATTCCCTGTTCCTCCTCCCTCTCCTCCCCCTCCCCCCATGCCCTTCGAAACCGTCATCGTCATCAATCTCACATGTACACACTCAGGACATCCTCCAGACCTCACCACGACCCTGGAATTCCAGCCCCCTTTGCAATGTCATCTTCTCGCTCGCGCTGACTTTTCGAGCTGCGCCTGGAAGCCGCAACGAGGAGGGCCCACGAAGGCCAAACATGACAGAAACTTCAAGGTGCCCCTGGGCACAAGAGCCTATACATTCGAAAAGCCCCTGCGATCACATCAGGGTGGGTCCGCTCCACATGAACTCCAGGACATTACATAGAAGTCCAACGGTCGAGTTCTGTGAGAGCACCGAATATCAAGCGTTGTTACGTATAAAGGGGTCGGCGGGTGTGGCGCAAGCCTGTGGATCAAGCTCCACCTCTCCGAAGCCGACGGCGCATGCCCGCTCAGGCTTCGCGACGGCCACCGTCTGGCCCGCAGGCGCCCTCGGCTCAGTGCCGCCCTGGCCAGAGGCGCAGGGAGGCGAGGCAGCCGGCAGCGCCCGCGGGGCCCGTTGGAGACCCCCCGCGACTGCTCGCGCAGGTGGACTGATGAGAGGAGGTCGGGCTCAACGAGCTCTCTGGGGGCATGTCCCCCACGAGTCGGAACCACCTGTCTTGCAGCGCCTCGGCAGCCGTGGGGCGCTCGTTGGGGTCGAAGGCCATCATGCGCATCACCAGGCCCTGTGCGTCGGGCGACCTGTTCAGCGGCGGCCTTGTGAAGTCGACCTTCTCCCTCCTCAGGCGATTCTGTATGCGCCGCATCGCGGGGCTGCCGACCCAATTCTCGCCAGGCCTGTCGTCGAAGATCTCCGTCCTGAACGGGGTACTGCCCGTGAGCAGCATGTACATGATGACGCCTGCGCAGTAGACGTCGGAGGCAGGCGAGTAGTCCCCCGCGTATGCCTCGGGAGAGATGTAGCCGTCGGTCCCGAGCACATCCACTGACTTGGGGCTCGACGGCTCCCAGTCCTGCACGGTGTCGAAGTCGATCAGCTTTGCCTCCACGGACGTCGGTGACCCGTTGCAGCTGCGCCTGCGCGCCTTGGGGGACGACATGTCCACCATCACGTTCTCCAGCTTCAGGTCCTTGTGGATCCTGCCGGCGGAGTGCATCGCGTCCAGCGCCCCGAGTATCTGGTGCAGGATCTGCCGCGCGTCCTCCTGCTCGACCCGCCCCTGCTGCAGGTGCTCGAACAGATCCATGCCGCTCACCCGCTCCATGATGACATAGTACTTGGAGGGAGTCTCGTACACCTTAGGCGATGCTTAAGAAAACTTAAGTATTCGGCCAGAGTCTCGATTATTCTTAATGTTTCAATGTAAATCCGAAGATTTCAATAGAAATTCTGGGTTATTATTCAAATTCTGAGACTCTGAGTTTCTTAACCCATGTTTTCTGAAGCATTTCGCAAAGTGTAGACCTCGATGTACTCACACACGCTGTCGATCTGAGGCATGTTCAGCTGGGCCACCGTCGTCTCGCGCCACTCGCGCTCCTCCCAGCTCCCCTTGAAGGACCCTGGCCTCTCGCGCGTCTTGACCACCACCTCCATACCGTCTGAGAGCCGCGTGCCGAAGAGCACCTGCACGCCGGCGTGCGTGGAATCCATGACCTGCCCCCCGATGTCGTAGATGCCAGACAGCTCCAGAGGAAGAAAAAACGGCCCAAACCGAAAACCTCGACAGTCCGCGCGGACTCTTGGATCTGCGCCGGGCCCCCCTCCCGTGCGCGCGGAGCGCGCCAGGGGCGGCGCTGGAGGCGCCGCCAGGAGGGTCCAGCGCAGATCCGAGAAATGCGCGCGGCCCGTCGAAGATGCATGCTTGAGCTATTGTTGCTTCTTCGCAGCTCGACGTCCAAGACTCTACGGATCCTCTTGTGCTGCGGCTTCTGCCCGCCGGCCCTCGGGGAGTCGGCCGCCGAGGCACTCGGCGCGACAGCGGGGGAGGGCTGTCTGGGCCCTGCCAGAGCGACGCTCTCAGGCTGGGCGACGACTCGTAAGTTCATCCTCTTCATGCGATCTCGGAGTGCCTTCATGGAGGCTGGCTGCTCTTGGCTGCAACCCCTCTCTGGGGATGCGGCCGCCGCAGCAAAACAGGCAATCATCTCAACTACGAGCGCAGGCCCCGAGGCCAAAACGGCTATGGAGGAAGAGGAGGCGGACGAGGACGAAGGAGAGGAGTGAGGACAGGGAGGAGCAGGAAAGGTGAGGCTGAGGACCCTGAGCCATTGTGCTCACTCCCGCCGATTGTTGCACTCCCGCATCACTTCTGAAGCCGCCCTCCGGCACTACGCCTCTGCTGTAATGCCCACTGGCCCTGCTGGCGACCAAGAGGACCCTCCCTCCCCCATGTCCCCGTGGGAGACGCGGTCTGGACCCCCTTGTCGCGTCGCTGGCAATTGGCGTTCCCAAGATGGCTCGGGATCGCCCCAGGTGACCTCCAAGACGATGCACAAGATGGGCACGTGCTCGCTGATATAAAAACACATCAACATAAACTTTTGGCGCTCCGCGCGGACTTCCTGGATCTGCGCTGGGATCCCCTTCCTGGCGCGCGGAGCGCGCCAGGGGCGGCGCTGGAGACGCCGCCGGGGGGGCCCAAGCGCGGATCCAAGAAATCCGCGCGGAGCGCCAACATATTATGTTTACGGCGTTTTTTCTTCTTTGCTGAAACTCCAGATCCCTTATTAATCGTTCCCCAGGTCTGGTTTTTTAAAGCCCCTATCTTTTAATTGGGGGGATCCAGTATATTGGGGCGCCTTCTCTGGATTGAAGCTTAGGGTGCCTTCTTATGTCAGGACGCCTTCTTAAGGCGCCTTCTTAGGAAGCCTTTTTTAAGGCGCCTTTGTTTATTAGGACGCCTTATTTTGGATTTGGGGGGGTCCGGTTCACCAGGGCGCCCCGTCGAGGAGGGGGGTCCGGAATATGAGGTCGCATTTGGAGGGGGGGGCGATTTTTTGATGGGGGGGTCGATTCATAAGGGATTGGGAGTAGTAGGTCGTCGGCGCGCACCCTGGATGCCAATTTGAGGCTCCTCTGTGCGGTCTCGCTTTTCGATACCTCGCTTCCGACCGGGCCCTGAGGCCTCGACCTGGGCCCCCAAACTGGCAAGAGATAGCCCAAGAGAGGCCTCACGAGGAGGACGAGGAGGAGAAGGAGGGAGGAGAAGGGAAGGAGGGAGGAGGAGGAGGGAGGAGGGAGAAGAGATGAGGAGGAGGAGGAGGAGGAGGAGGAAAAGGAGGAGGAGGAGGCTCGAACCAAAGAAACCCAAGAAGTCGCAACGGGACGTTCTCGCTGCTTCCGAAAGTGAAGGGGGGTTAACTGAGACCTCCCTTTGTTTGCATGCTTTGTCCCTACGAGTGCCCCAAAAGCCCCCAAAAAGCCCAAGGAGTCCCCTAACATTGCTCAAGCGGGCGTCACAGATGCCCAACCGATTGCCATGTGACGGGCGAAGTTGGGGCCGATCCCAGCTTCAGTTGACTGATGCCCTCCCACGTCGCACTTCCCTTCTCCAGAGAACTCGCGTATTGACCATCCAGAAGGACTGGCATGGCCTACACGAACTCGCCGATGGGCCGTTGAGCAAAAATAGGCTGACAGGGCTACGCATGTCGTGAAGAGTCCAATCACGCTCATCCAGTACTGCATTCCACTCCGTCGTCCTGCTTGATAAGCCTCGTCATCCTGCCTTTTCCTCCTCGCTCCCCATTTTCCTCCTCCCCTTTCTCATCGACGCCCACCTTCTCTCAATCCAGATGCTCCCTCCGTATTCCTGCCCTCCTCCTTGCCCTCCTCCTCCTGCTCCTCGCCCTCCTCTTTCTCCTTCGCCATGCATCCGTCCCTTCTTCTGCATCCTTTCACTCTGCATCCTGGATCCCTTTCTCCTGTATCCTGCATCCTTCATCCTTGTTGTCTACTGCCAAGTCACCCCAAGGTCGTGGGCACAAACATCGGCCTCCACCCCGATCCGGTCCTCTGACCTCCCACCATGTTCCGTCGAATTCATTGTCTCGCGTCTTGCTCCTCCTTCTCTTCCTCCTCCTCCTGCTCCTCCCTCCTCCTCCTCCCTCCTCTTTCTCCTCCTCCTCCTCCTCCTCCTCCTCCCTCCTCCTCCTTCTCCTCCTCCTCCTTTTCCTCCTCCTCCTCCTCCTTCTCCTCCTCTCTTTATCCTCGGAATTGTCTCCCTCCCGCTCCCTCCCCTTCTTCGAACTCCTCCGTCCCTTCTCAGCGGCTGAGACGTACCTGACGTCATAGCAAAATCATGCGCCACCACCCGACGCCGTTACTCGGTCGCTGCTACATTCTAGTATATGACGTTACCTTCGCTTCTGTGTTGTCATGTTCAAGCATGTTTTCTATGGCTAACCTTACACATCGGCACACATGTTGCGTTTGATAGGGTGCCGTTGATCGGCCGCTGCTGTTTTCTACATTAATCAACCAGGTTCGGGGCACTCACGTGTTATTATGTTGAACTCGGTTGCGTAAAAATATGTGGTGGACGGGCTGGGGTTGCTTCGTGACGCCTGTCACTTTTGATGCGTCGTCCACTCGGTCGTTGCTGTGCCTCTGTGTTCCAGTGGCCAACCTGTTCTCGGCGCGTGCGTAGCGTTTGATCGGATGCCGTGAATCGGTCGCTGATTATTTCTTTTATGGTATGTTGAACAACGTTCGACTCTGGGCAGTGTGAGCGTATTACGTTATGCTGTGCTGTGCGATGCTCTCGTCGATATGTTATATCACACTATGTGATGCAACTTATCGTTACGCTCAAACCTCTTCAGAGATCTTCGAACTGTCACTATACCGTTACATCACGTAACCACATTTGCCTGGTTATGTTATGTCATGCTCATCTGTGTTCATACATAAGACCTCCTTCTCCATCGTAGGCATAGTCTTCTAAGGTCCTCGCATCTCGCATTCATAGTTACGCTTTAATTGACGGTGAAGCTGTCATGGTAGTGAACGCAAACACTGCTATTGCGCTCCTGTGATGGTACGACACCACTTGTCTTCGCAATTCCTTGATGTTGCAGCAAAGCGTGCTACCATCCATGGCCTATGAAATTTTACTGCCAGGTCGGTTATCCCCCATCGATGTAAGAATTCGGATGCACTACGTTGTGTACTCACGGGGACCAGAGCCGCGAGAGAAGAACGGAGGGATGCATCACATACTTGTGAATTCATTTCCACATGGTCAAAATTTCACTCATATCAGCAAGCATCACACAACAACAATCAAGACGCCACAACACAGTACCTTTAACAGGGTACAGGGTCGGAATAGACCCCAGAACTCCTGACATGCCACAGCGGATGAGTCAGCAGAGAGTGGAGAGAGAAAGGAGAAGCATGGACAAACTCATACTTGCAGAAATTGCGCGCTGGTCAGAATCTGGGCGCGAGGCACGCGTCCGAGTAAAGATGGTGCGGCGGCCATGAGAGAGCCAACGCCCGGCAGACAGGGCTGGGCCTAAGCGTTGTGCTTCGTATTGTGCTTGTTTTGTGTTTCGCTCTGCTCTACCTGCTTGCTCTGCAACTCCCTCCCAAGAAGAAGAACAAAGACCACGCCGAAGTCCAACAAAAGAACGCTCAGGTCCAGCCCTGCCGGCAGAAGCGAACCGTGCGAACCGGCGGCGGCCCTGGAGAAACCCAGGGCGGCGGCCCCACAGACAGGGAGGGGCCGCACAGGGGCGGTCTGCCTTCCTGGAGCTGGTATCCATAGGGGCGAATTTGCCGGCTATAGGGCCTGCCGATTCGTCCATGAAAGTCTCAATCTCGGCTTTCTTCTTTGTCTCCAGAGACAAAGCTTGCAGGACAGCAGATCGGCGCGCCGAAAGTCTGGCCTAAGTCTCCTTGTCTTGGGCGAGGGAACGACCCTGGCCTGCATGGACAAGCAGCGTTGTGGATGCCACAGCAATGGACACCCGAACAGTCCGATCCTTGAGTTTAAAATGTGGCTAAAATGTAAAAACATATCCTTAGCAGGTTTTACACATGCGTTTTAAAGGTATACAACATGTTGACTACATGCTATGGACATCTGGAAATTCTTTGGCAGCATGCTTCCTCTCCATCAATCGTCCTCCACAAGAAGCAGCGCCAAAACACCACATGGGAGCAGGGGCGGGGACCGGCGAACGAAGGGTGCCCAGAGGGGAGGAGCGGAGTTTGTTTTTTTGGGGGGGGGGGCACTGCAGCTCGACCTGTACGCAACAGTTCGGCCGCTCACCGCGGCCTCCTCGCAGCCTCCCGAGCCGCAGTACGGGCACGGATGGCCTCCAAGCACGCTGGCGGAGCGGCAGCGGCGGAGGGGAGGAGTGGAGGAAGAAATAGAACAGAAAAGGGGCATAGGCATGAAATTCGGACAGTCCAGCGCGCCAGGGGGGTCCCAGCGCAGATCCAAGAAAACCGTGCGCAGCGCCGAAGGGTTTCCGCTGATGCTGGTCTTTCTGAACGAAGGAGGCCCGGAGGAGAGGAGAGGAGAAAGGGAGATCTCCCCAACTGAGGGCTGCTCTCAGTGCCATGTCTCCCCGTCAGCTGGCTTGGACAAAGGGGCAAACACTCTCAACGCGGGAGGAGGGGGTCGGGGGAGGGCGCGGGGA